CGCTTATTATAAAACATATTCGGTTATCATGGGTGCAGATTGTGAGGTGAAAGGAAAATACGTTATTCCAACCAGTCATTGCCAAGAAAGCCAAGGAAGACTAGAACCGTCATTTATATCTCATTTGCCATCATCATCATCATCATCATCATCATCATCATCATCATCATCATCATCATCATCATCATCATCATCATCATCATCATCATCATCATCATCATCATCATCATCATCATCACCATCATCATCATCATCATCATCATCATCATCATCATCATCATCATCATCATCATCATCATCATCATCATCAGCATCATCATCATCATCATCATCATCATCATCATCATCATCATCATCATCATCAGCAGCAGCAGCAGCAGCAGCAGCAGCAGCAGCAGCACCACCACCACCACCATCATCATCATCATCCAACCGTCTTGAAATCCCTGGCCGTAAAGACCGTATATGGAACCGATCTCTGACTGATCGGCAAACTGTGACGGCCCGCCAGACTTCCAGACCGGATCTCCAACGCGACACCAAATCGGCCCACACTCGTCCGTCAATCAGGACAGATCGCTTTGTATGACCTCATTTGGCCTTTTTCCGGGCCTAGAATGTCTCTTTGTGAGGATGATGTTGAGAAAAGTCGTCCCCATCCTGTGCTGAACTCAAAAAAGAGGAGAAAGTATTATAACTGCTGCAAAAATTTTTCCCAGTAATGTGGTTTTTATATTAGATTTTGTTTATGGTTAGTGCTTTTAACTTAAATAAATAACGCTGGATGCAAATAAATTGCTTAATTTTACTGATAACTAAGACCAGGTAAACACAATCTTTATGGCTAGGATTACCGCGGCACTACAAGTTTTAACCGGGGTCGTTTAATCTGATTAAAACAAGAAAGTGTAAAAGTACAGCCAGTGACCGATCGCATGAAATGTTAACCCAAATTCTGAAATGCGTTTTCTATTAGAAAGGATTACTTAGATAGGGTTGTAATATTGACTGTCTGACTACGTAATCCCTTAATATTTAACACACGCCAGGGTGTTGGCCTTTGAATGCGCTTCCTTTTCAACAGCCTACAAAAACTGCACTCAATAAAAATGATTACTTCAGTAGAATGCATTTTCTCTATCGATTTTCGATGCTTTTGTAAATCCAAATATAAGCCTAAGAAAACCTCGATAAAAAGATTCTCCCTTGTATTTATGCGGTAGCTAATCACGTCTTCTTCAAAATCTACACTCCTCGAAATGATATATTTTGGTTTAGAAAAGTTCTATTCTGAATACTTTTTAACTTGATCTGCCGCTGTATTTTTGTTTAAGGTTTTCAGTCCACAAGCTGTATACTTCTTGTTTAAAGAGAGACATGCACTCCTTTATGCCATCAAAAAAATACTAAATGAGGCTAATAAAATATTACAACGGACGTAGAGTGTGTTTTACATTAAGTGAGGATAAATACTAAACAGACGGATACGATGCTTTTCGAATGGACGTCGAAGGGTTTTAGAAAAATTCCCCAATTAGGAACTCTTAAGCTCGATAGACTGCATTTTAGGGCATAAAATTTAAAGAGGACGGAATTTATTATCAACGGTGAACTCAGAATATTTTTGTGCATGTTTTACTGCAAAATAATTTCGGACTAAACAGGATACTGAAACACGATGTGGAAAATGCATACTATTTATGCAAACTTTTTTGCCTAGTACAGTTTTACAGATGGCTTAAAAGGAAGGCGTTCAAAAGCCAGCATCCTAGTGTGTCATGGGATTATGCCACAGATAATCAACATAAAACTCCAGTTAAGTAATCCTTCCTAGTCGAAAACGCGTTTCTGATTTTCGATTAGCATTTAATTAGATCGGTAACTGT